TTGGTCTGCACAACAGTCAAAGTCATCATCTCTATTTACATGACATTCATATCTCGAGCATGCGTGGCACGACCACCGTCTTTAAAGACCAGCGTCAAACAAAGAGCCTGCTCCGCCCGTTTGATTATGTTACTGTCTATAGCAGCACACATTCGATCAGGTCCAAAAACTGCAAGCAATGTGTGTAGTGGTAACTATGAAGAAACCCTAATAGACTGTATTGAGCGTAATTAGTACGCCGTTTATTTCGATATACTGAAACCGCCTTTATGTAGGGTTAATCGGATTTGCACCTAGGATTTTACAATTGAAGAGGAACGCTGTGAGAAGGTGATTATTGAGCATACTTTGCGACTTTCATCAACTACAATGTTGCGATTTTCTTGCGTTCGTAGTGATAATAGTGTCCTTGTGATCATTACATAAAAGGCTTATGTAAACTGATTTGTGCTTGTTGTAATAGAGACACTTGTATAGTGCGGTGAAATCAATGATGAAACGACTTCTAACAGCTACAACTCCGCGAATTATGCTTGGAAGAGAATTGACCTGTTCAATACAAACGAAATACGAATGAATATAACAATTAAAATAAAACAAATATTCATGAATCAAAAAACACACGCATGGATTAGCATCCATGATATACCCGGGGCGCGAGAAGACAATGTCATTCAGTTTATTAGTGTTTCCTTTCACACCTTTCGATGTGTACTTGTGTCATTTTCGTAGAGCTGTTATGTACTTTGTATGTTGACGTGAGTAGAGACATCGGTTAGTGGTCGGTTGTTAATAGATACTTCCGCCTCGAGTAGTATGGTTTCAAATTTGGCATTAGAATTTCCTAGAATTTATTGAGTGTGCTTTCGTTATACCGATCATTAACTCATAAAATCCACCAAACCAAGGCTCCCATTTTGGTATGAACTTTCATGGGATGCGATGATTTGACAGCATTGACTTCACTTCCGGGTTCGAAATGATTTCGAGAAGTTCATTTGCAGCTGACAAGAAATCTGATGCGTTGTCCAAAATCAACATGGATGGAGTTGATCGGCGGGCTATGAATTGCATGAATGCTAACATGAACGAAGTAGTAGTCATTTCCGGGACAAGTTTAAGATGTATCGCTCGGGTGAGCGAACGTAAACAGAATACGTATGTCTTGGTAGTAGTATTTCTCACGTACATGGACCTCTCTGACACGATATTCTAGTGGGGCAGCTTACAATATGGACGCCCATTGACTTTCTTGCACATGAAGAATGCATGTAACACGGAGTTGACAACGCGACGAATTGTTATAATCCAAAACCGTTCACAAATGGCCGTGATGGTTGCCGATTGACCACCGTGACTGAGATGTATACGCATAGCATTGATGGGTAATAGCCTGAATGTGTGGTTACCAGGTAGTAGTATTGGGTGCATCGTGTCAAAATTACGTTTCAGCTCGTATTTGTTGATCACTACAAATGAATAATTGTAATTGTCTATTCACCAGAACCAAGTTTCTTGATATTGTTACGGAAAGTTTATATATTGTTCACGTATTCTGTACGTTGGATTTTTGAGTTCCAAGTTAGTTCTGCGTTGATTATCTCTGCAGCGGAAGTCACGGTGTGTTGGCACACACCGGGAGTGTATTGTCTCTGTTTATTTATTGTCATCACTAATACAATGAAGTCGGCGTTTAATGTTATTAACGAAGCCACCGTCCCTCATCACCGGGTTGGTGACGAAGCGAAATAAAAATGCTGATATAACAGTTTGTTTAAATTAAAGCCGTGTTTCGCCATAGTATCGGATGAAATAGATCCGTGCATTGCTTTGATCGGCCCATGTGTATTGCCCGTTAGTTGATGGATAGACCTGAATAGACCTAAATCCTGGTAATTGTTCAACTTGTGTAGGTTGAGCATGGCTTACTTGACGATGTAATTGCAGCTTATAAGCCTCCTATGTTCCATGGAACCCTCAAAAGGTATCGTTTTGAGAATCTCAGCGTCTGCGGAAATTAGTAGATCCAGGCGTATTTTTGAGACATCGAATAACTGGTTTATGTTTTGTAATGCCAGCTTCTTGTCTTCTTGTTTAATGTAGTCTGCAATGACCGATGAGCGTTTCGATGTGGTTCATTGTCTTGGTGAGTTGCCTCCTCGCCATTGTTCTGTTCTTCTTTTTCTGTGTGAGGTTGACAGCGACGGCATTTCTATCTTCGTTGTCAGACATGTTGTTCGTCGAGGGCGTTGCAAGTTGTGTAGTTGTATAGAGAATCACCCCAAGCATATACAGAAAAAACACCCTTTAAATAGGAGTATACATTGCGACTAATTGTCTAAAATGTCGCGATTTGTCTTTCGTTCGTAGTCATAATAGTGTCTTTGTGCCCATTATACAAATGCCTCATGTAAACTCGTTTATGCTATATCGCCCGATTCCCATACATCGGATACCATGTCCATATAGCTACAGATATTTGGTTTTCTTCTTTTCGAGGTACATGAAATAAGTGAGGTGGAGATTACATTTATCTTTGCATAACAAATTTTGATAGTTAGCGTGACCAATTGTATTAACTAATACCTAAGGTAAAGCAGCGGAATAAAGAATAAATCCAGCTAGATTCTTAACTAACCTGTTACAGTAGAGTATCCTATTAGTGTTAAAATATATGGATGTGGAGTTATGGTCTTCATTATGCTTATTTGGTCTAGAAACATATCCTTCATCCTCTGACTCACATGTCCTGAAAGAATCATTAAGGAAACATTAGATAACGTTTACTATGACATAAATTAGGAGCGTTCAACACATGTTCATACGAAGTATATTCCATTCATATGATTCTTACTTTTTAATCTCTCTACTTCGACACGTGTGACGCCATCTTTACCACCAACATACCAAGCATCAGCTACAAAACGCTCACGATCTGTATTGTCATATAATGCTTCTTTGAAATGTAACCTGTTCGGTGGAATGTCCCATATTTGTTCACCAAGTTTCATATATATTTCATTTCCTTGCTTTTCACTATGGAGGTCTTCATATACACCTACATTATTCTTGACAAACAGTAATAACAATATATAATACCATGACTGTAATGGTTCATGGATTAGCATTTTACAAAATAGTTCGTAATATGACGTGACACACGAATCAACAGGCTTATACCATGTAACATCAGATAGTGTATCAATATTGCAATCCAGCTACTCTTACCATGACGGAAATTTCTTCCATAGGTAAAATAATCGCATACTCTGCTGATGATGTATTAGTCTGGATAGTATTTTTTAAAGCCAATGAACGACAATCAGCTTGATTACTTGACGTTTCATTTTGATATTGTTTCTTCAACCCAAAACACTGATGTAGAAGAATATTAATTACAATTAATTCTGAAATAATCATCACATGTGTCTAAGGTAAAATAATACTACGTGTAGCATGTACAAATTTACATGTACATTCAATCAGCACAGATTAATATGGTCATCATTGCTTGAAATTATTTATGAAGCAATAAATGTATTCTTTACACAAATTTTACTTACGTAACTGAAACGTACTCAAGTTACATAGTTATTTATAGCCATTAGAAGGATAGGCAGTTGAATCGAACTGCTTGCTTGTGCTCAAAAAGATAAAAATGGAGATCACACCATATGATTTATTGTAGTGTGACCTTCACCACAAAACAGTATGAGTAATAGAGCAATTCCAAGATTTTCACAATGAAAAAAGACATTAATGTGAAGCCGGCATATTACTACAGAGACATTTCACATCTAATTTACCTTTACATCACGAGTTCGTTTTAAATACAAATACCATCCAACTGCAGCTCCCAAAATACAGACCAATATAACAATAATGACACTCACAAGAATTATAATGTAGTTGGAGTCTGACTTAATCACTGTAATATAAAATTATGGAAATAAAGTATTCATCTATATGTCTATACCCGTGTACTTAGGGGTCAATATAATTTGTATATTACCCTTATAGTTATTTAAATATTTGTCTGAATCTTAAGTACAAAAAATGCCAGTCGTGATTATAATTTTGAACAAAGAAGCGTCATTCAAATATCTGTTTCGACGGTTATTTTATATTCGTATTTATATCACTATGTCGTTATTTGAAACAGAACTAAATAAAAGAATGAAAATTCGCGGTAAATGGGTTTTAATCGAAGGGGAAGTATATAATAGTTCAAAACACAATTGGCCGATTAGTAGCAACATATTTGAAATATATTAAATAATAAATTACAATTTATTACTATTGTTTATCCAGCAAATATGAGGTCGTAATTTCGACTCTGGTGATTGGTTGTTCTCTGGGCATTGATTGCAAGAGTATAAAAATGCATTATTATTGTGAAATATGTTTCTGCCCTTGTGATTTCATTGAGCCTGATAAATCAGTTTGGTAGTATTTATATATCCCTTCATTTTCAGACACACAATATTGTCTATTAAACTCTCTTGTACGCCTTTCCCATGTGATAAACATATGTTTTAAATAACGCTTTTCGCTCACATTACTCAATTCATATATTTTTTGATCAGGCTGTATATAAAATGACTACATAAAGTCGAATTGCAATTATCATACATATGTACCTAATTCGAACTTTTCATTATTGTGACGTGTTGGTCAAACATTTATCACAACACAAATCATATATTATTTGTAATGGTGGACTTTTATAATGCTAATTTTAACATATAATAAAATCATGACATGACTGGCGAAGATAAAATAAATAATGTTTTATTCACTTGTCACTAAACTCCCGAAATATACCATACCTAATATAACCAGAATTCAACCAATATATACATATATTAAACCAGAACTTATCCGCAAATAATGTTCATACCTGTACTATATTGTACATCATTGAATTCTTCCAAGCAATGATCTCCATCAATTGTACAGTATGTCACCCTGTATTCAGCATTCACATCATCCACTGCATATTCAAGTTGACTGCCAAATACACATTCTTCTATTACAACCCAGCTGTCATGTACAAGTTTCTCTATTTTCACACACTGATAACTGCCATTTTCATGCCTTGTCCAGGTTAATTTACCAGTCTCTAGATTTATTTCAATAGTTGGTTTAGCTGTATTTGTTTAGAAATTGAACAAGTAGTGATCAGTGACTTAGATATACAACGTTTGAAAGAATATACATTAGCTAAGGCGACGAGGTGAGCAAGGAGGAAGACAGTTTACAAAACAACATTAAATATTAATACAATCATGCATCATTGTTTAAAATATTAGAATAAAGAATCAGCATAAACACAAACTGAATTTTCACAGAATATAAGTTTTATTTTATAAATTTTTCATTTAATAATTTTTAGTCTGTATAAATAGTCAGTTGTCTATTTAAAATTAGTGACCTCGACATTGCAGCAGATCTGTCATTTGTAATAGCGTTGCGCAAAAATCGTTACACAGGAAGCAGGTACCCACAATTCCATATGCACCACAAATTGTCTGTTTTGTCAAGTCCCAATTGCAAATTTGTTGCGTGTTTCTATAAATATTAAAATCGGTAGTAATTTTTGATAAACCGCTAAATTTGTTGATGCATAGGGATATTTGCACCGGTGTTTTATGTTGTAAAGGAGTGGACAGAAAGTACAGGGGGAGGCCTGTGTTTTTTGAAAGTACATACTGTTCTACTGCACAGCTTAGAACATTGAGAACAATGTAGGAAACTGTGTGCCACATTAGGGTGATACATATACAATTTTACTGGCACCTTTGTGAGTGTTGCGTGTTAAATCAGGTGCATCCTTCAAAATACGAGATACACATGTTCAATGCCACCATTAATTTTAATACTTGACATTCTCATTATACACTTTTTTATAACAACACGTTACAGCGTGCGGTAATTGTAATTTAATTTATTTTCATCCTACCATATTAGAAAACACGAATTCCAAATATATAACGATTACACGCGTAAGCGTCCTCTAATAATAAAAACAAAACATGGCAATCCCAAGAGTTTGACCGAACCCCACACAAAGAAGTTCGTTGAATCTGTGCTAAACCTTTTGGATTTTGTGCATTCTCATGATGTGATCTTGGACAGAAAGGATGTATAATAATAAGGTTATTACCACGATATTGCTTAACGTTGATCGATACTCCCGCTGTACTGATTTCGTGCATAATTTACAGTGTCCTCGTAATAACCGCATATTCACATTTTCGGTGTCCTCCCAATAAACTTAATATAATACATACTCCCTAATCTAACAGTATTGTGAAATCATTGTTTTGTCATAACATATGTAATAGCTCCATATTTGGAATTTCCATTTTCTAGCAGGATGGCAGGATGCAGGCACTCCCTAACAGTGACACATGTATTATAATTATTAATTATGTTATAAAAGAGTCAGTACACATATATAAGAACCACACGTTAGATTACTCACCGTATGTCTTAAAACTGAAACTGTTAGATAGGTCTCCATCTCCAAAGCTGCTGGTAGCATATGCCTTGAATTCATATGTAGTGTTAGAACTCAAACCTGTTACTGTCAATATTTCATTCACACTCCCTTTACCATCTTCCGGCCATAGCTTATGAGTTGCATTATTGACAAGATAATATTGCAGATAATACAAAATGTTTATTGCATCACCTCCATGAAATCCTGGTATTATTTTTACAGTAAGTTGTTCATATCCAGTTTCCAGAATTAGAATTCCATTCGGTGGTTCAGGAGGGCCTATCAATAAAAAAAAATACTTATGTATGTTTTGTTTGTATTACTTACAATGTTCTTACTAAATAAAATGTACTCCAATGCACCTGATAAATAAAAACATATAAAGATCTCACAATCTTGTGTTAACACCATGCATGGCGCAAACGCAATTTGAGCTAATGTACATGTTTAACTTTTTTTATACTGGCATACCAATTATGAAATAGTTTCCTCAGTTTTCTGATGGTAATTGATATG